CAGGCTCTGCAGGGCGGCGATGTTCTCCGTGGACAGGCAGAAGGCCTCCTCGTCCTCGCACACCACGTCCCGCTCAAAGCTGGTGTCTGGAGTGTGGTCCAGCTCCTCCATGAGGAGGATGATTTGCCGCTTTCTGCTGACAAACTCCTCTCGACGTTGCTCCTAGAGGCGACGGGCAGCGTTAGAAGCCCCCGGGGAGACCCTCGCCCCTCGCCCCTCCCCACCCACCTTCTCCGCCGCCAGGGCGGCCAAGTGGCGCCGGTAGCGATCCAGGTCCTCCAGGCTGGGCACGGCGCTGCCGTCGATGCTGAACGGGGCAGTGCAGAGGATGTCGCACAGGTCTCGGTCTTGTTCTTGCAGAGTTTTCAGCTCCTGCTTCCTGTCCCTCTTCTGCTTTAACATCACTTCCACGCGGGTCCGCAGGTTCTTCTCCATCTGCAGGATGGTGCTTTCTTCCTCCGCCTACAAGTCCAAAAATCATCTCTGTCTACAGCTCTCAGAGGCCTGACTCACATACTTAGGCTTCTTTGTCAAAGACCTGGGGCACAAACCCTAGTTCTGAGCAAGATGGTCCCCAGGAAGGCACAAACGCACCAGCAAGGCCTAGAACAAGATGCTGCAAGACACCCACCCCCCTCACAACCACCCCCTAGCACCCGACCTGGGAGGAGCTATACAGCTCTGCCAGGAACCAAGAACAGAGCTTTCAAATGGGTGCTCGCCTTATGAGCTCCACCCTCACCAAGACACCTGGGCAGAGGCTGGACAGCAAAACACTGTTCCCAACAGGGTCCTAGGAGCAAAAAGTGTCACCTTACCTCAAAGGGATCCAGCTGGAGCTCCTTGCAGAGGACATCAAGCTCCTTCCGACAGACAGCAATGCTCTTCAAGAGACGCTCCTTCAGGCTCTCCTCCTCTGCCACCATCATGTCCAGGAGGCTCTGTGGGACAGGCAGGGTTAGACACACTGCAGGGATGGGCAGCGGGGAGGGGACATGGAGGGCGAGACCAGGCAGAGCGGCAGGGCCACAGCCGTAGAACCGGTGAGGGGGCCCACCAAAGGACCAGGCAGGGAGCACCGGGAGCCCGGCAGGACCAGGCAGTGCAGGGCACGGGCAGAGGTGCAGCCCCAGACCCGAGTGCTCCTGCCAGACTGGTCAGTACCCGCAGCACTACCCGAGGACCCCGGGAGAGCACCCCAGGACCCCAGCCCCGGGACCCTCCCGCCCCACACCTTGATGTGCTTCTTGACGACGTCGGTGCGCTCCAGGCGCTGCTCCTCGGGGATACCGATCTCCTCCCAGATGTCCCGCAGTGCCGCCATGGCTCG